CCCCAAAACCCCAAAACCCCAAAACCCCAAAACCCCTTTTCTCCAGTTCTATATTGAAAAATTGAATGAATGGCATTATGGAGAACTACCTAAGCTTCTGAGACAGAGTACGCTGAGGCACAGTCAGACTTGGAGTTGCACTTCTCTTATGCTTGTTCTTCTTGCTCTGTGTAGCTGCTATTTTATCATACTTCTTCTTGCTGACATGGATGCTAGATTTTCCAAAAGCTCCTTTACCCATGGATGTATTTACAACCTTAGGACCATTGTCAGCATATATGACTCCATTATAAGTTTTCGGCATGATTCCGTTCTCCGGCCGTTTGTACATGACAAACTTATTGCCAGACTTCTTGTTCGTGATACCCTTATTGGGCATCATCTGGATCTTGACCTCTCCTTTCTTTACTACTCCGAGGTTTTTCTTGAATAACTTATTGCGAAGGATCTCTTCTTGGTTGAAAGAGTTATTCTTGTTGTGTATCAGACTCTCAGAAATATTCTTCACAATGGACTCGTCTTTAGAGTAGTTAAACAACTTGCTGTTTATATGGGGATTGAATGAATTTTTGATTTCATGCATTCTCTGGGCAGTGGACTCTTTCTTTCTCAGCCTTTCTGCGCTCTTGCGTCCTTTATTTCTTTAGAGTGGCGGATTGAGGCCTGGTTTTGCTTGTCAGTCCTCTTTTCTGAGAGTTGGTGTTTGGTGTTCTCTTTGATTTTACTTTAATCACTGCGCTAGGTTGGTGCTGGTGGTGCCTGAGGAAGGGACTTGGAGAAACTCTTCCTTGACCATGCTTTCGCTTTTTGACATTGGAGGTATCTATTCCTTCGTTAACACTTCTATGATGAATCCCCTTTGAATTTGTAATATTGTTGTAGAAAAGTTGCTGAGGGTTGCTAGAATGGAACCCCATGGCTGAGCTTCCTCTATTAGCATCTTTATTTATCTCCTTTGCTTTTAGAAAGATTGCCTCTTGAAGTCCTCGGCCTTGATGCTTGCTGACTAGCTGCAGTTGTGTTTTCTCCGCTCTCGCCCACAGACTCTTTTCCTTTCTTCGGAGCGCTCCCATTGGCCTCTTTGTTTACAACTCTGTTGTTACCTTTGTTGGTCCTCTTGTTGGCCTGCATGTGCTCTTTGAAGTACTTCAAATCGTGGATGATCTTGTCCATGTCATCATCATCCACTTTCTCGGCTACACTCTTGTTGTGCTTGTGCTTCGGAGCCTTGACTCCTGACTTCCGCCTTGCGTGTCCACTGCTCTTGCGGGATTGACCAATGGGCTTGCCTTCGAAGCTGTCGTTGGACCTGGATGCTTTGACCAGAGCCAAGTCTTGCTGCTCTTTGTCTGTGGGTTAGCAGGCCACTTACCGAGTTTGAGTTCACTGAGGATTTTTGAGTTTTTATGAGGAAAGCCTTGCACTGGCTGGGTCTGAGTGACTTTGGACACACAGACTGCCTTAGAAGGCGATTTGTTGGGAGAGCCTTTGGGGACGAGGGAGTCTGTGATTCTGTGGAGGTGGGAAAGGTAGTTAATGAGGGAGTCAGTGGGAGGGTTGACGGTGTAGTCTGCATCACGGTTAGCTCTGACTATGGGCTGATGCTTATTTGACTCAATTCCTTGTAATGGTCGGATAACTTTCAAGTCTTCTTTATATTCTTCTCCCTCGTTTATTACTTGCTGAGAAGGAGCATGATGTTTTTGGTAACTCATCAAGATGTGACTCACAAGTGGTCACTCACTGGGTAGGAATCCTGCTGCAATGTCGAGGGCTTTACCATGGAAATATTCGGACTCTCTTCTCTTCATTGCTGGGTCGGTAATCTCGTCATCTTGCTTCATTTGAACTATGAATCTTAGCTCTGTGGATACACAGAAATATGAAACTGCAAGGAATCATATTTTCTCAAGCACGAGTTCTCTTGAAAGCTCGTATTCAATGCTAGAGGTAGTGTAAATGTCTTGCATTGTGAGTGGAGATATCTGCATAATATTTCCAATATTCAAGGACCAGATCCAGTCAGACTGGTTCAGATACCCCAGAAGATTCCTCATGTCTACTTTATCAAATACAGTGTTGAAGTCTTCTGTGGTTTTAGGGTTGTTATTTTGTTGTTGTCTGATCTCTTCATGATCAGTATCATCAAATAACTCTTTGAGGACGATGTTTTCAGGGACTAACCTATTTTCAAGTTCTTCAGCAATCGGAAATAATTTCATCGATGTCTTAGCTAGAAGTGACAGCTGTGACTCATAAAGGAAGTCAATATGTTTATTTGGGTATAGAATTATTTCCTTCTCCTGTGCTATCCTTTTCATTATCTAAATTTATCATTTTCTCATCTGGATTGGGCTTCATCCTTTCCACATAGTATTTTACTAACTTATGAACATCTTTTACGAGATAGTGAGAGATACTGATCGCAATTTTAGCGTGAATCAGAGCTTCCTTGTGTCTGTGGAGCTGAGATAATAAAGCTCATACTTGCATATGAGCTTTACATTCATATTTTAATTTCTTGAGTTTCTCTTCTGGTGCTTCTGAGAGATCATCTGCAAATCAGGAGGCTACATTCATGAGACACCCTTCAAGGTACAATGATCACTCTTCAAGTGCGCCTATTTTTTGGTAGCACATTGCCATATTATGCAGGATTGTGAGCATGAGAAACTTGTCAGCCCTGCTATTTTTCCAAATTGAGTTGCTCAATAATAGCTTGTGCTTTCTGGAGTAATACAAGAGCTTTATCATAGGCTTCCCTTGCAATATAATTAAGTGCACTATCATTGAGTTCATGGAGAACTATTGGCACTTCATCCTCTTCAAGGTCTAATTCCTTTGAGAAATATTTCTCGAAGGAATCATCTGAACTTTTCTCATCAATAGCAACGCCCATATCACTTATCTTAGCTGCATTCCTTTCCTTCTTTTGCTCACTGATCATGTCTGAGGAGTCTTTGGAAGTCTTGGCTGATACTCCTCCTTTATTTGAAAACATTTTCAAAAATTTTAATTTTGAAGGGGTTTTGGGGTTTTGGGGTTTTGGGGTTTTGGGG